GAGGCCACGAGCAGATAGTCAAGATGCTGCTTGACAAAGGCGCTGAGGTCAACGCGCAGGGTGGACGCTATGGCAACGCACTGCAGGCAGCTTCAAACAGAGGCCGTGAGCAGGTGGTCAAGATGCTTCTTAATGCAGGCGCGCATAAACTTTAGGAAGATAGTCCTGTGTTGAGATTCAGATAGCTTTGCTCAGGCGTCTAGCAAGCATTTCTGAGTCAGCGCAGCGAAGGGCACGCCAGGGAACGTGACTTGAAGCCGTCAGCATGCGCCATGACAGCCTGGGCACACTGCGGAGGTTCCGGCATGCACACGCCTGCGCTAGAGCAATCTCCAAAGACTTGGGAAGTGACCTTCCTTGAATGCGCTTCATCACCAGCCCTCCGATACCTAAAGAAAACTCCTCGAGTAGCGAGTAGACATGGGAGTATTTCTGAACGGTTGTGCGACTGCGTTGACGGGATGATCAACAGCATGACCAGCACTGCAGAGATCCTACCGGTAGTCAGAGCCAGTTGGCGTGGAGGAGTAATAATACTTTTACAACCCTCTCATTTCAAAAAAGGCTCAACGGACTTGTAAATGGAAGCCGCTGCAGGTCCAGACTGCCAATCTGTCTCGGGACATGGTGTGTCTCTTCGCCCAGGGACGCACCTTAGTCGACGGATTAGGATAGTCGACAAATAGAGAAAGTTAACAAATAGAGAAAGTTGACAAATAGAGAAAGTTGACAAATAGAGAAAGTCGACAAATGGAGAAAGTCGACAAATGGAGAAAGTTGACAAATAGAGAAAGTCGACAAATAGAGAAAGTTGTAACCACGTGGCTCAGATCACATGATATCCTATTATAGCAGGCACTGCCCGGTGGGCAAGTGCACTTACCTGAGAGCTGAGAGCTTGAACAACACAACATCACACAACACGACAACAGATAGCAATACACTCGTTGATCACAGTCTCCGACCGACACTGCTCACGCAGTTACAAAAGTCGACAAATAGAGAAAGTCGACAAATAGAGAAAGTCGACAAATAGAAACAGTCGACGCATGTGAAAGCAGTTCGTTTCATTTGTCGTCTCTTGCGGATGTGTAGAATCATCTCATCTTGTACAGGGCAATTCTGGCGTAAACTACAGCCATCCATTGCCGTCTTCTCCACCCGTGACCTGTCTCGCCAAAGCGCCCGCACCAACCCAATGCTTGGAGTCCCTGCTCCTTTTTGCCATTTCAAACCCGCTTGCTGCACATGCTACACCACTCGTTGCTCCCCAGTCTCTCCTGACTCATCTCAGGCCGGCCAGACGACGCCCCTGAACCTCAGACAGGGCGCGGCTGCCGCTCAAGAAGGCGACGACGCCGACGAGGCCCGCGGCAGGCAGGGTCTGGAAGAGGTTCCAGCTCGTGTAGTACAGGAAGAAGACGCCCTCCATGGCGACGATGGATCCGTAGAACAGGGCGTGCGAGACCGGGGCCGCGCCAAGAGCCTTGCTGGCGTGGCCGACGTTGGCACCGAGGGTCGCCCACAGACCGAGCAGCACGGGCAAGGCAGCCGCAACGGCAGCGGCGAAGACGAGCGTGATGACCTTGGGCGGCGACTTGGGGTCCTCGCGGAACACGTGGTGGATCTCGGCCTCGGGCGCGTAGCGGAGCGGCGCCTCGGGGACGGCGAGCGGTGCGCTGGCGTCGCGGGTCACGGTGAGATCGAAGACCTTCTGCCTGTAGGGCGTGGAAGAGCCGAATGCTCCGATGACGATCGAGGCGGAGATTGGCTTCGAGGCCGTGAGGAATTGGTGCGGTAGGGCCTTTTGTGTCTGCGGGTCGTCAGAAGCGGCAGAGGGGTGCCGTTGGACGCAAAGCTTACCAGAGAGACCTTGGCCTTGCCGCTGTCCTTGACGCTGAGCACAAACGACTCCTCGAGTCCGCTGGCCGGGTCCGTCAGGGTCAGAAAGGCCTGGTGCGGTCGCTTCGCCGTCCCGCCATCGACGGTGGTGAGGTCGATCTTGAGCACGTCGGTGGCGCCCAGCGAGACTGTCTTGGAGAGGGGCGATGTCGCGCTGAGCCTGGACCCCGTCAGTCTTCTTCCTCGACGAGGCGCACATGGGAAGAGGCTCACTTGTTCTTGGCAGCTCCGCCGACGCCCGCGCCTTTGCTGGCAATCGCAACGGTGGCATCTTCAATGCTCCACGCCGCAGCCGATGCGATTGACGCGCCCGAAAGCAACAGCGAGGACACAAGACCGAGAGAGAGCTTCATGGTTGACGTGTCGAGGAAGTGAAGACCAGAGGCGAGCCATGCCAGAGGACAGCTAAGCTGGGTCGCAAGCCGCGCACGGGGCAGCTGCGGGTGAGCGGTGATTGGTGTTCCAGCGCACTTGGCCAGGACAATGGAAAGGTATCAATTCAACCAGACGCAAACAAGGCATGCATGCGTGCGTATGGCGTAGGTGTAGTCTATTATTGTTCCATCATTGCATTGAATATAGTCGAACAAGTCCTGCATGGGTGTAGGCTGTTATTTCGTCATTACGTCGAAGATAGTCGAACAAGTCCTGCATGTGTGTAGGCTGCTATTCCGTCATTACGTCGAATATAGTCGAACAAGTCCTGCATGGGTGTAGTCTGTTATTTCGTCATAACGTCGAATATAATCAAACAAGTCCTGCATGAGTATAGTCTGTTATTCCGTCATTACGTCGAATATAATCAAACAAGTCCTGCATGGGGATAGTCTGTTATTCAACAATTGCCTCGAGTGCAATGCTATCAGTTCAACCAGACGATCAAGTCCTGCACGAGTATAGCCTATTATTATTCCATCAGTACGTCGAATAGAATCAAACAAGTCCTGCATGAGTATAGTCTATTATTATTCCACCATTACGTCGAATAGAATCAAACAGGTCGTGCATGGGTATACTACGTGGGTCCATCATTCTGTGCAGCCCCGTCCCCCCCTCCCCCCGTCAAACTCGCCATGAACTCGTGGTACCGAAACACCTCTCCCCTGCCCAGTCCCTTGCCGGCCTTGGCGGCCTTGCCAAACGCCCTGCGCCCGCTGAACCCCTCGACGGCCATGTCAATCTCCCTCTCCGTCAGACGACGCCCGCCCGCGTCCGGCGCCGTGTGCAGCAGCGCGTCCTTGAGCTCGGCGAGATCGATCTGGCCATCGTCGCCGTCGTCAAAGGCCTCGAACGCGGCGCTGAGCTCGTTCGGCCGCGAGAGCCCGCCGAGCAGATCCGACAGCGTGTTGAGGTATGTGGCGAGGTTGATGCTCTGCGCGCCGTCCAGGTACGTGGCGAGCGTCGCGGGCGTCGCGGCGAGACCGAGCTGCGACAGCATGTCGGCGACGTCGGCGGCGTTGACGTGGCCGTCGTCGTCGCGGTCCATGACGCTGAACGACTCGCGCATGCTGTGGAGAAGCGGCGGCGGCAGCCTCGAGAGGGCGTCGCTGGTGGTCTGGCGAATCATGGCGGGTCGGGCGGGCGCTCTTGTCTCGACGGGGGGGCGCTGGACCGGCCTCGGTTCGAATGGTCTCGTCTCGACGGGGAGGGCCTTTTCGACAACCTTCTCCATGGGCTTCACGGGCAAGAGTGCTTCGATGGCTCGTCCGACGGCCTTCTCCGCCGCCTTCTCCGCGGCCTTTGGGGGCGAGAGTGGGGCCTCGACGACCTTTGCGGGCGAGAGTGGGGCTTCGACGGGCTTCAGCGACCGCAGCTGCGAGGGCGAACTGGGCGCCTCTCCCGCCGTCTTCAGCCACGGCGGCGCGTTCTGCGAGGCGTTGCTGGTCGTGGTCGGGCGCAGCGGCGCCGGCGACAGGGCCTTTGGGGTGCTCGGCTTCAGTGGCGAGCTGGTCGGCGTCGACGGCCGCGCTGTCGACGGCGAGCCCTGGCGGACGGAGCCCGGGCGGCCAAAGGGTGACTGGCGCGACCCGCGCGCGCTGTTGAAGAAGAGTGGCGACGGCTTCGCGTCTGTGGGAGCCGACATGATGTTGTGTCGCTGGCCGTCGTCGATGGGCGTTGCACGGGCGGCGGGCTGCTCGATGCGGCGAGAGTGCAGCGTGTTGACGTTCGCGCCTTCCCCAGCAACCGGCGCGCCAGCCGTGTTGAGTGTCGACGTTGGCGCCGTCCCCAGCAACCGCCCGCCAAGCCCGCCAAGCCGCCCCATCCCTGTCCATCACTAGCCTCAGGGTCCACTCCACACCTCGCATCTCGATTCGCGATGCGCGATGCTCGATGCGCGACTCTCGGTTCTCGATTCTCCAGAGTCGCCGGACGCGCTGTGCAGCACGCAAGGACCGCCGGCTCGGCTGCGCTCCACGTTCCTCTCCGCTGACACGACGGCTCCCACGGCCCTCACTCGCAGCTCCGCGCCAGACCAACGCCGGAACGCTACCCCTGTGTGGGGCCTCTAGCGCGACCGAGGGCAGATCCACGCCATGCGCGCGACGGCGGCATCGTGGAGAAGATGGAAACACACATGGCTGACGTGATGGCTCCGAGACCCGGCGGCCTCCAGCGCCAGCCCTCGTTCTCGTCGTTCCCGTCGTTCCCCCCCGCGCGCTCGCCGTCGGTCTCGGTGCGCAACGACCCCAGGAAAGCGCGATCCCCGCAGCCGCAGATGGTCCCCGAGGCCGACGACGGCGACGGACAGGGCGCCGCCTCGTCGCGCACCTCGGCCCACTCGCACGCCGCCGCCGCCACCGCCGCCACCGCCGCCGCCGCCACCATGAGCCGACTGCGCTCGCAGTACCCCGCCGACGCCGTCGAGCGCCATGTCGAGTACATCCTGGTCGCCTCGTTCGACATTGACCGCGGATCCGTCATGGAGAACCAGTACCCGGCCGCCATCAGCGGCGATGAGACGACGCTGGCCGAGCTCATGCTGCCGGACCAGGTCCACTCGCGCGCCCAGGACTGGACCATTTTCTTCCTCCACAAGGACACCACCACCGAAGAGGAGGAGAAGGAGGCCCGGAGAGAGCGCAGGCGCAAGCGCCGGCGGCGAAAAGAGGGGCAAGACGACGGCGAGGCGGGCGCTGCGCCAGACGCCGACGTCGATGGTGAGGATGATGACGACGACGGCGACGATGGCGACGACGACGACGACGACGACACAGAGGCCACCGAGGAAGAGAGCGATCCCGATGGCCCGCCGCTCGTCTACGTCCTGAACCTCGTCAACACCAAGCAGGACAACACGGTCAAGCGCGGCGCTGTGGTGAAAGCCATGGCCATCTGCACTCGGCACTCGTTCCTGCACATCTACAAGCCCCTGCTCCTCTTAGCGCTCGAGGAGTACTTTCGTCACCCTGTCATCGAGACGCTGGCCTCGCTCTATAATGCCCTCAACGCCATGGACCTGTCGTTGCTGCCTAGGCTGTCGACCCTGGAGAGCTTCGTGCTGCATGCCACCGACGCCAAGGACATGTTTGTCGAAAAGTTCGAGCGCATCATCCGCCAGCAAAAGGCCGCCGACGCCGAGGGCGCCTCGCTATCGTCGACCGACTCACACCCCAAGCGGATTGCGTACATACCCCCACGCGACACGCACGAGTTCGAGTCCAAGATCAACTACAACGGCATCCCCGTGCCTGTCAAAGTCCCGTCTGCGCTCAGCCCGGAGACAGTGGGCGACTTCTCCCTCATCAAGCTCATCCAAACCTTCTCCACCCCCCACGCCACACAGCCGCAGCCGTTCGCCCTCCACCCACACCTCACAACAAGCGGCGCCTACACCCATCCCATCATCGTCCTCGTCAACGCGCTCCTCACCCAGAAGCGCATCATCTTCATCGGCCACAACCGGCCGTCCAGCGAAGTCGCCGAAGCAGTGCTCGCAGCATGTGCGCTGGCATCCGGCGGTGTCCTGCGCGGCTTTGTCCGCCACGCCTTCCCCTACACCGATCTGACCAAAGTCGACGACCTGCTCAAAGTCCCCGGCTTCATCGCCGGTGTCACCAACCCGACCTTCTCCTTCAAGCCAGAATGGTGGGACGTCCTCTGCGACCTGCCTACCGGCCGCATGAAGATCAGCAACCGCATCGAAGCCGCCTCGCCCACTGACGGATCGCTCTATTTCCAGCAACACGGCATCCCCGTCAGCGGCCCCGGCAGCGCCATGGCCTCGGAGAAACAAGGCGGCGTCGACACGACCGGCGACAACGCCTTCATGGAGAGCATGCTCCAGGCCATTGCCAACCGCCACGGCGAAAACGCCATTCGAGCCAAGTGGCGCTCCTGGGTCTTGAAGTTCACCCGCATCGCTGCCGCGTTCGAAGAGACGGTCTACGGTGCCTCGGCCCTATACATCGGCTCGCACGAGACCGACGCCGGCGCGTACGGGGTGTCTGGACACGGATACGTCTGGCCAGACGAGCACTCTCGGCTGCGCGAACTCGCCGCCAACGTCCACAGGATCGAAGGCTGGCGCAGCACACGGAGCTACTACAGCTGCGTCCAGGACCTCGCGCGGCACTGGAACAGACGCCCCGTCCGCGGCATCGACCTACACCACCAACACGACAAACTGCGCTGCTTGAAGCTCACCCACGACCAATCCGCCGCCATCTACCTCGCCCTCGCGCGCTGCGTCGAAGAAGCCGGATCGCCCGCCGCCAGCGCCTCCGGCTCCGACGCCGACCTGCCCAACGCTGTGCAGCACCTCACGCTGGCCAACGACCCGGACCGCCACCCGGGCGCGAAGCTGCAGTACGACACCATTCTGCAGCTGCTGTGTGTGATCCCGGAGACCAACACAGGGCTCTTTTATCTCAGCTTGGGCCTGTTTCATCCCAGGCAGGATGTGAGAATGGCCGTGGTGAAGCTGCTCGAGAGGATCATGGATCATCCCGCTGGACGGTACTTTTGGGGCAGCTTGGGCAGGTTTGCCAAGCTGGCGTTTTTCAGGGTTAAGAGGGAGGAGGGGGGACCGCCAAAGTGAAGACGGGCCATGCTTGCTTCCAGAGGAGCATCTACATGAGACACGAGAGCAATCGTGGACCTCAACCTGCCCGTTCCCATAGTAATTTACGTTCAAGTCTGCAGCCTTGCGTTCGTACGTGGTGGCTTCGTCGCATGTTTTCCTGATTGGCGTGCGCGTGCATCGAGCGCGCGCCGTGGCTCGGCTCAGCCGCGTCTCAGCCTGCTTCCTCAAGATTTCAACTCTTTCCAGTCGTCGCACTGCGCCTCCACACTCATCAGCTGCTTCGTACTTACACATGAAAATCTACTTCCACCATTGTGCTCCTTGGGGTGACCCACACTCGCCACCGGCACGATGTCGCTGGTCAAGGTCATCCGTGATGTCGACTGGTCGGCCAGCGGAAGGGGATCGCACGTCGACTTTGGCCCTGGAGAAGAGGTGCCGTTGAAAGAAGGTTCGACAATGCACCCGCAGAGGAACTTTTGAACAGACGCTGACCGAGCAGTGCGCTATCTTGGTAGAGGCGGCATGGCGACAGTGTACGAAACAAAGGTCCATGGCCACAGCCTGGCTTGGAAGAAGATAGGCCTCAGACGACGGCCCAGCGAGAAGGACAAGAAAGAGATTGACATTCTCAAGAAATTGAGCCATGCGCATATGATTCGGCTCATCGGAGCTTACACACACCAGACGGTCATTGGATTGCTGCTTTTTCCCGTTGCCGTGTGCGACCTTCAAACATTCTTCATTGACGCAGAAGCAGCATGCAACCAGCCTGCAGACGACGAGCGGACTGATCGCCTCACCCGGCTCGGATACCTTCCAGATGATCCCCTTGCGCCGCGGGAGCGCAAAGCTTGGCCAATCTACTCTCAAATTGGTTGTTTGATGTCCGCCATCGGGTACCTTCACGGCCAACGAATTCGTCACAAAGACCTCAAGCCTTCAAACATTCTATTGTTGCGAGACCGTCTGTACCTTAGCGACTTCGGGTGTGCTTCTGACTTCTCCTTGCTATCGCGGAGCGCCAGCGATAACGGCGGCGGGACACCTAGATATCTGTCACCAGAGGTACGCCATCTATATGAGCCTGCCAGAAACAAGCTGATGGAAATGTGGAGTAGACAGCGAAGTTTTGTGACAGTGGCCGTGCAGCAGATATATTCTCGCTCGGCTGCGTTCTCCTCGAAATCCTGGTGTTCCATCACGAAGGGACACTTCGCCGCATCCAAGACTTTGGTCTCACTACAGATCGATCATACCATGCAAATCTAAACCAATTGGACGTATGGCTGCCTTGGACAGCAAGTCCCAGTCCAAGGCGGCACCACCTTATCAGAGAGGTGCACACGATGCTGTCCAGGAATCCAGACGACCGACCGGACATTGATGCAATTCTTTCGCGCATCAGTCTGTGCGATGTCATGGTGCGCGACACCAAGAGATCCATATTTGGCGACTGTTGTCGCACATCCTACATGACTACGACGCATCACAGCAGGCAACTTCACGCTGCGCAGACAGCTCTTCGCCGCACAGAGGATCTTCTTCGGACAAGTCAGCTCCAGATTGCGCGAATGCAGATTACTTTGAGCGAAACCCGTGAGGATCTCAAGACTGCTTGCACCGCGCAGGTGTCTACCGAGGTAAGAATGTTGTTGCCGTAGCAAGCTACCATCTGACCAGCACAGCGACGGCTGAAGAAGGTTGAGAAGGATCGCGACGTGGCAGAATCTGCGTACTACGACCAAGCCCGGAAACATGCACGGAAAGCAGAGTGTTTGGATACAGCTGAGGTACGATCGATCCTCGTAGTGCTATATTATGGACACTAACAGGCTGCAGGGAAAATTGCGGACAGCAGAGAAACACCTGCGTGAAAGCCTTGCTTTGAATGCCGAATCCGCTGTCAAGATCGATAGATTGAGAACAGAGCGCAACACTCTGTGGAACGGCAAGCGCAAAAGCGAAAGCCAACAACGCAACGCTCCTGCGGATGGAAACACACATGTCGACCACCGTGAGCCGGCCTCTCCCTTCCAAGTCAGCCACCAGAAACCACAATTTTCAGAGCTGGCTACGGACGGTTCACAACGGATTCAAACACGGAGAAGAGACGTAGATCACTCGCGCAGACATAACATGCAAGAGACAGCACAAGCTACCACCAGCGTGCACAACTCGCATCCACATAGGGTGGCAGTGAGATATGAGCGGAGCGGAACAGAAGACCCGTTTGGCATGGAACAGCATCCACTGCCCGCTCGAACGACCTACCACAGCACGGGAGCAAGGCTGAGGTTTCCAGTCACAACCCCCGCTTCTTCTACATCAGATACGTCAGATACGTCAGATACGTCAGATATAACAAGCCCACGAATTGCTATGGCCATGAACAACCAGCGGACAAGAAGAGCAGCAAGTCTACCAGCCAACCAGACCGGATCCGCAGGACAAGCAAGAAGACCCAGAAAACCACGGAGCAAGACCGAAGCCCTCACCCCTCCCGCCCCAGCCCAGAGACCCAGCCGGAGCGCCCAAGACCCACCCAGCGCCTTACCACACACTCCCCCGGGCCTCAAACACGCAGACTTCGCGGGCCGCCACGCACCCAATCCCGACCAAGAAGACCCACATCTCCGCGTCTCAGATGGCGACACCTACGACCCCCGGCTCCAACACTCTGCTCCCCGCACCCAGGGCGCGCTGGCCAATACAAACGAATTCGGCACCCTCGGTCCCTTCTTCGCCGGGGTCCACGTACTGAGTCGAAGGGCCGCAGAAGAAGAAGAAGCGCATGCACCCGTTGACCAGAGTAAAAGCGCCTCGTCCGGTCTCGGCAGGTTGCGGAAGGCCTTGCAGAGAGTGACGGGGGACTGAGCGCGTTTCCCGATCGCGCGCGGGGATGCGGACCATACTGTAGTAGCTATGCTCGAGTAATCGCCTCTTTCAGATCGGTGGGAACCGTGCTGAGCCACGGTCCTGATCGGACACCGCCCGCACCAGACCTGTTGCATTGCCTGCAGTCAAAGAAAGCAAGGTCCTCTCGAAAACCAACGAAACGCTCTGGGATTCGGCTACAAGCCAGAATTCGGTACATAGACAACCCCCTAGAGATGCGAAGACGGGTAGCTCGCGGCTCGCGCGAAGATTGGCTTCGTCACGGACCTTGATGATAGGGGCATACTGGAAAAGGTAGTCTTGGGTGGGGCCTGAGGCGGATCATTAAGCTATTTACAAAGTATCGAGGGGTTGGGTATGTGGTATCTCATCTCATCGCGCGTATATAATCGTAGCGCTTCTCTCCGTTTCATCATGCATATCCATGCGCTTCCCATATCCATGCGTCCAATCTACCATAGAACATCTCATCAAAGCCAATCATGTCCAATGAAAATCGTAATCTTATACACCTCGTTGAAATCCTGAGCAGATTCTCCTCCCCTCGACCCTACAACTCCCAACAACACCCTAGACGTAGCTACGGCGGGTGTGGCTGTGGCGAGAGTGCGAGGTGCGAGGGCTGCGCGAGTGGTGGCCGTGACGGGAGCGGTGGACTTCGCGCTTAACGATGACGCGGTCACGGCTGTCGCGGTAGTGGTGGGCGACAAGGAGAGCCAGAAGGCAGGTGATGAAGAAGAAAATGCAGTTCCTGGCAGTCGTCAGCATGTCATTCTCAGCACTGCTGTAGGAAAACTTACATGATGCCAAAGGCAAAGGACGCCTTGAGCATGGCACACTGCTTGTCGATGTTCAAGCTGTAGCGGTTGGCGGAAACGTTGAAAAGCCCCAGATCAGCGCTGTACGAGCCGTTCGACGACCAGTTGGAGCAGTCTGCATTGGTGATGCCGCGCAGGCAGTAGACGCCGCCAATGAAGGCACCGACGAAGAGCAGGTCGACAAAGGCAACGAACTTGGCCGAGTGGCGTGCGCGCGAGTACAGGAACAACGTCCCCATCGCCCATGCTGCTCCGAGCACCGAGACTATGAAGAGCACGAGGATTGATCGCGGCGTGAGCAGGTTGCGGTCATCGTACCACGAGACGAACCAGGCGAGCATGCCCAGCGTCGGAATAAGCGTGACGATCTGGAAGATGCGCCAGAAGACGAACGAAAGCCCGGAGATTGACATGTCGGCGATATGTCGCTGTTTGCTGTGCTGGTCGAAGGCGAGTTGCGCAGAACAATGGCGTTGTTATGCTCTTTGTTTGTCGATCGCGGATAGTCGGTGTAGTCCTAAAGCAGCTGCGATGCTCCAAGAGGAAGTGCGACGCTTCAAGAGAAGGTGACTACGGCTGCGCGCAGGAAGATTGTGGGACGGACAGCGCAGGTTTTAACACTCAAGGCAGAGACTAGGATGCGGCTTGTTCAAAGCTTGCAGTCGCCAGTACAACGCAACAGTGCAGGAACGACTCGTGATGGGAAGCAGTATGACGTGTGGGCCGGGTACTGGCGTATATGGACAACGAATGGCGGGGAGGTTGGGTGTGGCAGGCTAAAACCCAACCTCCAACCTTTCACACCTGTTTTGCATCGTCAGAGTACGAACCATCGACATAGGCCAAGGAACTCGTACCTGGAGTTGTTGCGACATTGGGCGAAAATCGCGCCGTCCAATTTCAGTGCAGTCTCTGTGGCCATGGGTGCCTCTACCTTGACATGCTTGTAGTTGAAACTGCCTTGGTCAGATCGGTCCTTCCAGGAACCGTCGACTCACTCACAACATCAAACATGAACATGTTTTCATCGCGCGATACTGCCCACCGGCGTGCGCCGTCGCTTTAACGTGATGAAGCTGAGATGAAGAGCTCCGCGGAGGGAGTTCCCGTCTTTCAGCACCAACTAGTCGCCGTTGGCTCCCGCCTCAAAGAGAAAGTGCCTCACTGCCCTTGCGGAAGGAGACTGCGAACGGCAGCCTCTCAGACCTGTAAACACGTGCGGCGCAGGCACCGCCGGTTCTTCCGTCAATGAACCGGACAACTCATCTCACCCTGCAGGGTGATGGGATTGCTGACGCCCAGAATTACACGATGGAGCCATCCCTTATCACCGCTTGGACATTTCCGCCGTCCTCTGAGGCGGCTTGCTTCTCCAGATTCTTCGACCTGGCATCGCATTCTCAGTGTCGCACTGCATAGCTTTACCGAACAGCATGATCTCCATGTGGAGACAGATCTACCATTCGCCTGGTCAATAAAAAGGAAGCAATGGTAAGAATGCAGTAGGACGAGCATGGTTCCTTATCAGCAACACCGCTGACACGGTCCACCATAACCCGTTTTGGACGTTTTGATCTCCACAACCTGACGGCCGGGACGACCCAACAGGGGTCCTCGAGAACGGGAACACATGTGGACTCGAAAGTCACGACCGTGAAGTATAGGGCGCTCTGTCTTTCCCCGCCCCTTGTGTTTAGGTTTCTGCGTGTGCATGCGTTCTTTCTTCTTTCCCTTCTTCACCCTTCGATTTGAGCACGTCCGTTCCGCAGAACTTCATTGATTCGCTCGCTTGATATTTGCAGAGACAGTTGCATTACGAACAGCTAGCTTATCACTGAGCAAAACAGAGTCTTCAGCAGCTGTCAGAAAACTCACACCCATCGTAATCATTATTGCCTTGATGCCGCGACCAAGTCGATTTGGTCAAGAACAACAAACTCCCCTGAAAGACACGATCGACTTGTCGGTGGTTATCTTACCAAGCGTAACAGTAGTGGCCAGTCTCAAGTGAAAATGTCAGCACGAGGGGCGCGAAGCCGGAAAGTTCAGCAGAAAGACACCGAGAAGAAGGAAAAGAAGGTCGCGGTGCAGGGCAAAGCTCCAGAGGTCCATGATGCTTTCGCAGACTGGCGAGCTACACCGAGTAGCAATGGACCTCGCAACGCCGGCGCTGGACTGACCCGGTCCGTCAGCAACTTGAGTCGTGGGACTTCGCGCAGCAGTGGTACGAATGGCAGCGGCAACCGGTCACGTCTGAACACGACATACTCGAATGAAAGTTCGAGTCATGGAGGACCGTCAAAGAGCTCTACGAGCGGTGCAGCATCAGTCTCGGACCATTCAGCTAGGGGTCAAGATAAGGCGAAATTCCAGGCAAATGGAAAGAAGACGACAGCTCCCCGAGGGCGAGGTGGAGGCGTCCCCATCAAGACCACAGTTACGCCAACACCTGAGCCGACACTGTTTCAAAGCGAGTCACCTGCTCCACGCCTTGCGAGCCACAGGAGAACGTGGCTTGACTTCATGATATGGGAAGGGGGCAAAGAAGAAATGCGACCATACGGTGGCTTTGCATTCGTACGTTAAGATAGCAGTTGTCTTGGTACTGGTCTGACACTTTGCAGGATGAAGATATGCACAGCGGCAGCGTCTTGATTTACTTCAAGGAAGAGCAGCTGGATGAAGCTCATCCGGTACCCTCGATACGTGCCGAGCTTGAAGTCATCCAGAGCTCAGGATCAAGTTGGCTGAGCAATGCGCTTTTGATGGGATGTCTCGATGAGGACGAAGATGACTGGGCTTCAACTGCTGCAGACGAGTTGATGGCTCCGTCACGACAATACGCGCACGACAGAAGGATGCTCGGTCCAATATCGCTCGGAGGCATGTCACCGCCACCTTTGGACATAGATCGCGTCTCTTCACGAGCGCCTTCCAGAAGCGCTTCCCTCGCTCCGCAGACGTATTCAAACGATCGAGCGCGCTCGCCATTGTCTGGGCATCTCCGACAGAACAGCCAGCAAAATCCCACTCATGAGATTTGGTTTACTGCGCCTTCAGAGCTCCGTACGGTGCAGGCTCAGCGGCTGCACCATGTCGCCATCCGGAACTTCCTCGCCATTCTACACGGCAAGCCGATAGTGGGAGCAGATGTATTTGACATGCTCAGCACACTGCAAATGCAAATACAAGTCATGTATGACCTCGACACTGACACGCGGTCAACGACGCCAGCGGAACGCAGCGTGCAAATGATTACAAACTATCTGGGACAGTATGGCATCGACAACGTGTGCAAAGACACAAGACATGCATTGGCTCTCCTCGCGTGGGCTGAGCAAGACTCTGTGAGATGGCGAAAAGGTTATTTGGAATGCTTTACACATCTTGCGGGCGCAATGACACCACGTATGGAGGAAACGTCTGGATTCAAGCGGCTCTCGATTACTACAAGGCGCAATCTCGGCATCGCTGCGAAGACCTTACAGCTCCGGGTCATGGAAGCCGAAGAGAGGCTGGGCACTTTCGATTTTGCCGACTTGTGGAAAGACAGCCCAAAGCTTACGAATGGTCCTGTTCACCAAAGCTACCAAGGTTTCCGGCAGTTCCTTATCGACCATTACGGAAGGATATACGGAACTTGGCCACCACCTTCAGAAGGCCTATGGCTGAATCGCAAGGCTGTTCTCGCAATGCAAGACGACTTTGGGTCTCTGTACGACTACCTTGTAGATCGCGACGTATACTGGAATCCTCGAGAAGAGCGCGCAAGCAGGAAGTGGGAGATGCAGCACCGCCTGACCGATGATTTCGAGGCAGACCTGCCAGAGCTTGGGATCACAGATATGCTGGTGATGTACGATGCAAAAGCTGGCTATGCACATATACCACATCCGTATCCATTGTTACCGAGAGAAGTCTCGAAGCTCCCAAAACCCAAGGAGAAGAAGAGCTTCTTCTCGTCGTTGAAGAAAGACAAGACGAAAGACGCCACAAAGGACGCTAAGGCGCATCTGCAACTCTCGATCGTCTTCAGTGACGCGACGAATATTGAGAAGCTGGATGTCAACTTCAACGGTGAGTTGTTCGAATTTTTACAGAGATTTCCTCCTGACAGTAGCCCAGGATCAACATTGATCGATAAGTTCGAGCAATTCGAATTGACCACTGATCTTAAAAACATTTCGCCGCGCGAAGCCCGTCTTGGCCGATGGGTTCTTCTCTACGGTATTTTGCAGGTCCTCTCCACCCTTTCTGTTGACGTTCAAGGCCTGAAGCACACGGAAGGTGTTCGCTACTTCCTTTGCACCGATCTCAAGCGCTGCCCCGAGTGGGTAACGAGTGGGCAAAGCGACTCCCTTGAAGCCACACAGCAACGCTCTTGGTGCTGGCAGCGCGCTTGGGACCCGACACCAATCCGCAATGCGCCCGTCGAGCTCGAAGCAGCGGCCATGCCTGACCGATCGTCCGCACCACGGGATAGAGCACGCTCAAACACGCAGACTCGCAACGTAGAGTATACGTCCAATTCTACGCCCCCGCCTCAACGCCCACTTCCTGCTGCACCACTCGACTTCAAAGGCGCAACATTGATGCAGAATGACATTGCCCGAATCAGCGAGAAGATCGACTCGCTGTCCATGTCGCACAATGCATCACGTATGCTGCGTCAAGAGTACGAGCGACGCCGCGAAAACGAGAAAGTCATGGCCGGCGAATTCAAATCGCCCCGCATCAACGATGTGGGCGTCGATTATCGCCACCTGCGTACAGAGGAGTCCCACAGGCTTGCTGAAAGCGAGTATGCAAGCCGGCCTCTGCCACCCATCGGAGGAAATATGGAGAGAGACAATCACAGGGAGATTTACGCCAACCGACCACTTGCGCCACCTAGAGGTCTGTCCAGGGGTCCGATGTCATCAAGCATGGACTTGGGCGGATATCCTTTCAGTGCTGCGGAGATGGATTTCCCCAGTCCACCCGGGTATAGTGTTGGTACGAGGGAGAGGAGTGGGTCGAGACCGCCGCGGTACGGGAACGAAGTCATGGCTGGCCAGGGGAGGGAGAGGAGCGCGAGTAGACTGCCTGGATATGAGGAACCGGGAGTGAGGAGGGAGAGAGTCGTATATGGGAGGAGTGGGTGGCAGTGATTCCTTCTTTGCTGCATGTAAATGTCTTGTCTCGCAAAAGTTTGTGTTTTGAGGGAAGCAGAAGAAAAGGTATGTGGCTATGTCAGCAGAACATCGCTTGTATGCTTGTATGTCCAATAGTTGGGAATTTTTGAATGTTTTATAATCACGTTTGCCTTCTTCTGCATGTGTGTAGGAAAGCCGACGGCGCGTTTAATAACACAATGCGCATGATGCCAGAAAGCACAATCCTCAGCCAGCTCACTTCAAGCTCTGTCTCCGCTACCTTTAAGGGAAGCTTTGGGAACTGGAGAAGAAATGCCGACTTTCACAAAGCTGCAAAGGAAGCCGCTACTCGTGCCATGTGGGGCGACAAAGAAATTGACGACAGGCAAAAAGGTACGAAGATCGTAGGGTGAATAGGCAGAGAAGCTGAGGCGTTCTGTTTGGCCTCGCCATCCATGGACCCATGCACGTATGCTTTCCCGATGAGTGTCCAAGAAGGGGTCTCGTCGTCATTCTCGGCATTGAATATACCTAGTAGGGAGTATTCTGGTTTCTCCTCGCGAAAGGCCTGACGATCTTGCGCCACGAGAGCCGCTCTTCGACACTAAGGGCTCGCAGAGGGGTCTGCTCCAGAGCGGTTGATCTCGTGAATAAGCTGAGCGAGTTCCGCTCTTTCACCACCAAGTATAGCCCGGTTGTTCAGTATCCATCTTTGTATACCCCATTTGTCATGATGCATGGCTTAAGCGGGAGCACTTCCGTCTTGAAGAAGTACGCCCACGCAGGGGTTGTTTAAGTGTCGATCAATACGTATCTAAGCCAAAGCTCTGTCGAATTTCAAGGCAGGGCCATACTGGTTTGTACATGCAGTAATTGTCTCGACTTCGGTGTTGGAACAGCTCGCAAAGGTCGGAGTGAGGAGCGTGGCGACCTGCTTAAGTTGTCCGAAGCTTGCCATTCGTAGGTGTCGCTGAGTATGATTGGCCTTGTACTAAAATGTGTAGAATTGGTACATCCACTTCTGTCGACTGCGGATCTGAAAGTTTTTCGAAATCCGCTCTTGAAATAACGAAGACGTAGAAGCAAGCGCTGCACGAGAGATGCTAGCTGCTGAGCTTTGGTGGAATATGCGGACAACCTTTGCCCTCTGCTCGTGCCTTCTGAACTGAGGTCCGGCTCATGCAACTGGCAGTATTCGCGTGCGTCTGTTTTCAGCAACCAGAAAGTGCCTGAGAAACCCCCCAGCTAGTGTGATCCTGGGGTCAAGTTTTGAAAGTAGTCTTTGAAAGTGAGGCAAGCACATGTCCGTACGAACAAGGTTAGGGGTCCAGACACGGTCGCGAACCTCCAGTTTCAAAAGCTTGACTTTTAAGGAGGCTCAGTGTAGGCTATGCTCGTCCAATTGACGCTCAGATCAACTGGTTTCGGGCTGCGTACTGTTCTAGCCGCAACATCCACAGACGCTTCGTGCCATTGAGGTGGAGTCGACTGTGGTGGTGGGACTGTCTACTTTAAAGTGTGACTAATGTGATAACTGTCCCTACCATAGCCTCAGCTCAATCTCAAATGGTACCCTTACAAGGTCAGAATATGTACAAACATGCGTGAACCCAGCAAAACGCCAGCGACCTTAGCTAGTTTGCATCCACGCAAAAGCTTTTTCTTCGAGACGCTCCTCCCTCGGATTCAACGAACTCCTTTCGTGTGCCCCTCTTACTTTCCGACCACCTGATCCTTCAACTCTTGTGTCTTGTCCGCGACTTGCTGTGTGACGCCCTTGATCTCCTCTTGTACACCTCTCGCCCTCTTCGCCATCCTGTCCTTCCATTCCTTGTCTTCCTCATCACGCATCTCCAATTCTCTCAGCCATCTCTCTCGCTTATCCATCCTCTCCTTCTCAGCTACCTGCTTCTCGTAGTCCTTCCTCTTCACGCGATCCTTTTGCCAGTATAGGTTACCTGCGACGAGGACTGCAATTGTGAAGCCTTGAGCGTATAGACGACGGCGGAAATACAAGTTGGTCATCTTATGGTCGCCCTTGCGCATCGATCGTGTCGCGCCTACAATGGCCCATACTGTGAGACCGCAGCCGAAGGGAATGAGGGGTTCTTCGCGGAAACGGCGCCACATCTTGTCAAGGGTGTTTTCATTATAGAAGTCGCTGAGTGGTATTAGTCGTGAGGGTTATGTGGATGGCGCATATGTGGATTCCATAATGCTGTACAAAGGAGCACCTTACACATTTTCATCGAAAGAAGAGGGGAGCGGCGCGCTGTTGCGTGGGCCCGCCATGGTGAAGAGTGTATGCGGAGGTGTCGCGTGTGGCCAATGGCAGAGTTCGGTTGGTTTGGCAGGGCTTATGGGGACTTTCTGGTATCAGACCTCGAATTGAAGCTATACAGAACCTTGGTTTCGCGTGGTGAAGCTATCAACAAGCTGTTGCGGCGATCTAGACGAGCTTGAACTGCGTAGCTCATCGATTATCTCACCACTTCCATCATCGGCCCGTTTTAGCTCCGATCGTAGCTTCCATTGTTTCGCCGAGGCGCTGACATGGAACAGACAGCAGCCTGCAGGTCGAACAACAACCGTAACGCTGCCGCATCACAGCGTCGCCTCCATGAGTGATACATCGACACTCCATACCTTCCTGCGGCGCCATGAACGATGAGGCCGAGTCGTCTCGAGCTACATTGCGCCGCGATGACAGTTCTCCTGACCGTATCGACGACATAGAGCATATCTCCCCAAGAGAAATTGCACGTGAGCATGCAAAAGCTGTGAAGGAACGGCGGCTAGATGCCAAAAGGAAGCGCATCCGGATGCTGGGCGACCTTCTGCGCGAGCTGGACCTGGTGGTGTATATGGAGCTACTAGCCCTCTACCACCTCGAGTACGCCTTACCTTCACACTCTCACATGGCTCCGGAGGCTAATGAGGGCACAGTTGCTCATTCTTCTGGTTTGCAGTGCGTGCGTTGGCTCATGGTAGCCTGCTCACGCCAGTCTCAGACCCAACCATGCAACGCCCACCTGACGAGGCTCGACCGTTTCTACCCGTAGTGGCAGGATTGTTTGTTATGAACTTTCTGCTTCATATGCTATATCTAGCGCCAGCAGCTGGCGAAGACACCAGAGGCTATCTGCACGGTGGCTTGATGATAGACTTCATCGGGCAGCAGGGGCCAACTAGTAAATGGAAGCTAGGAGGATTGGACCTGTGTATTCTGGCCCTGCAGCTGGTCATGGTGTCGGCGCATGTCAAGCGCCGAGATCTGAAGAAGCAGTTGTCGCAGATCACTGCAGGGGAGACGCCATCAGGCAGCGCCGAAGACACAGCCACGTCAGAGCCTACGGGTGAGAACACCACACCATCACCAACAACAACTTTGAGTGCGGCCCGAGGTCAGGATGCCGACGACGAAGAGCGTGGAATTTTGCGCCGGACTGACACTATGTCAGACATAGGAGCCGAACCCGAGGAGGAGGATTCGCTACTGCAATCTACCGCTGAGACAGGTCACGTCGATGCGCTGGACTTGCTAACCTCGGGGCAGTGCGTCATATTTTCTGCCGACGTCATCAATACAATATGGCACGAGAACGAGAATTATCGGGCGTTCCGCCAGACGCGCACAGAAAACAGCCTTAGCGGTGACATGCCAGAGACACTGCGTCGTCTGAACACGCTACGCGCCCGCTTTGGTGTCGGTGGGGGTTGAAAAACAGCAGCTCGATATCTGATCTTTATTTTGATCACCATCATCTCCGTCCCATTCAAACATGACAAACATGGCAAACATGTTATCGCACCTTGAACTCTTCAGGGTCCAAGGCCTCCTGCCTGTGAAACCGCGGTAGCCGGCTCGTAAATAAACCTCGGCGAGTGTAGCCGTGTCTGGCCAAAGACCTCCACATAGGATGAGCCACCAAAACTAGCCACGTGCGATCGCGTGGGGCAAGCAGGGCTTCCATGACCAACAGGAAAGCTTGATCCCAGGGAAGGAACATTGATCGCACCATCTGCGCATACGCATGAAACTATCTCGACAAATTGGGTTGGTACATCAGCAAGTCATACCGATGATGACGATGCTGACGGGCTGGCACGCACCGCCCGCACCGATGTCGTCAACCGTATCACTTCACTTCACAACACAACAACCCACACCTTTGTCGCAAGAACAGGTTCCTGAACGGTGAGCTGCCGGATGCAGAATTCTTGCATCTGCCACTCAAACCTAGCTGCACCCCAGGATCGTGAACCTGGTCCCACTCACGCAAAGTGTATCGCTGGACCTGCGTGCCGACCGACAAGGCGACACCGAGAGACGGCTCGCAAGCCACCTGGTCGCAGGACGGCCACGGTCCGCTCGCTACCGCTGTTGCTCCTAGTGGCTGCACACAATTGCCGTGAGAGTGCGTGCTTCTCCACCGTTTGTTGTGGTGGATCAGTAGATTAGACGTGGGATATCACTCCGCGCGGTTGCAGGCCTGGTTCTCTCCGTAAGGAGTGGAGTCCAGGCATTGATGGCCACGGATCGCGGTTCAGCTGTTTGCCGACAGCGTCCTTACTCCCCTTCGTAGCCCTTGGGGTAAACAGTCTTTGATAGCTCATATCGGGAGTAACATCGTTAGCAGGGCAACCCCTTCATGCGCCCATGTACTGTGTTCTTGTTTCGCGAGGCGCGCATATACGATGCAAGGACGTAGCCACAGCTGCGTGGTCGCCCGCGCTCGGAAGGAATGAGGCGCATGCAATGGGATATTTCGGGGCACCGTGATCTCGTAAAAGCATTGTGAGGCGGTAAGCCTGCATGTCGACGAGCGTGATATACCCGCCTTCGTGCCTGACTGTCTGATGAAGGTGCATGTGTCACTGCTTGCCGGGTAGCATTTGCTGTCCCGGTGAAGGTGTGCCGATGTGGAGAATCCCATATCCAAGGCACATGAACATGCATGATTCCATGTATCGACGGGCTGCAGCGCACATGATGGGACGTCGTTTTGGCGCAGTGAGAGTGGTCGCGTAATGTCGTTGTACACACACCAGTGACGATCTGTAGGCGGCTGAAAAGCTGTGAATAGTGTGAAGGAACGGAGAACAGCGCAATATCGCAGTTTGCCTTGTTCATTTCTCGACGTCGCATATTGGCAGTCGTGACACGTTCCAAGGAGCCAAGTAGATGCAAGGGTTGCAAGTCCTCTGAAGGTGATGTATCCACGCCAGCATCTTTGTAGCTCTAAGTGGTCCAGGACTCAGTAGGATCTGGAAACGCCAGCCTGAGTGATAATTGAGGGCCTATAGAGGCCAGCATGTGTGAGATCACACGAAGCATTCGGCTTGTCCTCTACAGGTGGCTCATGCTCACGATCGTGCGTCGAGGAGGATTCGGGAACGACCAGCATCTGTGACGCCTTCTGCTCCGCAAGCAGAACAGCTATACCACATCGCTGTCAATAGCAAGATCGCTTTGCTTTGCATTTCTTTCGCCTCACCTTGCTGTGCGACTCACATGACGTTGTTCCACCTGCGGCCTCCGTGCATCCCACTTTCTCAGTTAGGCAATCAGCGAATGCTATTTCCGCTGACTTGCATAAGTCATGTCATTTGTCGTCCGCAATCTGTAGGGGAGCTAAACCAGTGTGGTGGGTGTGAGACGTGGATCCGCTTCTGTGGGATCCAGATTCTCATTGCTGCAGTGGCCAACTATCGTGCGCCGTCGCGTGCAGAACAATGAATGCAGGTAGACGTACATCAGTGGATATTATCCTCAGCGATCGACAAATTCGAGAAATTAAGGCGACAGAGAGGTTTGTTTGTTGCACAAGCTCCCTCACCATTGGGCTCAAAGCAAGAGATCTGGTGTTCAGGCCGGTGACGAAGGCTCATATATCTCGCAAATGCTTGTCCCGCATGACGGCTTGCGCAAGACGGTTGGCTGATATCACGCAAGGCCGCGGCCCATCATCACATGCATAAGCGCTGACCGGGACACCCTTGCTGCCCCACGCTCAATCAGACAACCAGATCCATCTTGATCCTCGAGTCCTTGTTCGTATCGCGTTGCACAAGGACTCGAGTTCTGCCCTATAACATGTGAGAGTCACATTCTGATAGTCTACTCAGGTCCTACTTCGGACGGCAGGGTAGGGCGGCGCATGTGCTGATTTGAAGGTGTGGCGCCGCTGCTGTACAACGCCCTGTGTCAAGTGCCGGTCGCTGGGCTATCGAGCGTACCACTTGGAGCCAAATGACATGTGTGGGAGGGCTGTGTGTGGACGTCGAAACGACAACGAATCATTTCATGCACACGGAGAAAGGCGCGGGTGCATGACGTTGCATTAGCGAGATCCAACACCTCTGATTGCAGACATCAGATCTCGCCTGATGGTGGCTTTGCACCGAGAACACGAACATGCGGTGAGGTGAACATACACGTGTTGAGGTGGAACGGACATGGAGATTGCAATGCCCGTATGAACGCTCGACGTTATGATTTCCAGACACTATGTAAGGGGACCAGCCCGTTGACCGCCATTGGCACCTCGCATGTGTAGCGGTCCGTGAAGGCGTTGCAGGCGCCGGATGTTTGTTGATTTGCACAACAAAATTCCGCGCAGTGCGTAACTTCCGAAGCGTCGAACACCTAGCCTGACCTCGTGCTTCAGGGATTCTGATTCAACGTCAGCAGGACTTCGAGGTTCTGACGTGCAAACACATTCCGAGAGCGAGGCTATCGGTGAAGGGCCTGCTCCACCTCGGGAGATTATTTGCTGGATGCGAACTCCGGTCCCCTCGTTCTGCACGTACAAGTATGCTGCGACCAGCGAAGATGCTTTGACACTCCCGAATCAGTGGCTGACTGCTTCGAGATCCGGTGTCTTCGTCACGAAGTTCTTCGACGTGGGACTTAATCGCCCCACTTCTAAAAATTGCTCACCATGGTGGGGTGCAGCTTTCTCGCCAGCCCTACTCGTGGATAACAATGACTGGCACTAATAGTGACTTGCACGAATAGATAACGTAGTTCACAAGCGAGCGGTCCAACCCAAGCGAGCGGTCCATCCCAACCATGATAGCCTAATAACTACTTTGCATTACAATGCCATCCCAACGCAACGTGCAATTAACCTATACTGAAGGGACCTTACAGCTTGCTATCTAAGCTACAATTAAAGATCGCGACGAGAGCGAAAGACGCGCTATTGCAGCCTTCAGCGTACCTCAAACTACTGTCCGCTGACGACGCCAAGGAGCCCTCTCTCGACGCGATCGCGAGCCCAATTTAAAGAAGCTGAGCAAACTGGAGGAGGAGGCCCTTGTACAACGTATACTTGAGCTTGACACAAGAGGAATACCTGCTACAAAGGCTATGGTGCGAGATATGGCCAATGATCTGCTTGCTGAGCGCGGTGGAGAGCCTGTTGGCAAGCACTGGGTAGACAACTTCAAGACGCGTACGCCTGAGATCAAGCTTCGAAGGAGCCGTCCATATGATCGCCAGCGAGCCCTTAACGAAGATGCACGCGTTATAACGCCCTGGTTTGAGCTAGTTGCCAACACAAAGGCCAAGTACAGCATCACAGACAAAGACATGTACAACTTTGACGAGACAGGCTTCATGATGGGGGTTATCCATAGCCAGATGGTCTTTACAGGCTCTGAGAAGCGTAGCACAAAGAGCCTGCAGCCAGGGAACCGTGGTTGGGTCACCAATATACAAGGAGTTAACGCCAAAGGATGGGCTATCCCACCCTTCCTTATCTTCCCTGGCAAGGTCCTTATTACCTCATGGTTTCACAATCTACCTCGGGATTAGGTAATTAAGGTTAGTCCTAATGGCTGGACGTCGAATGAGCTTGGTATTGCCTGGCTGAAGCACTTTAATACCCATACAAAAGACCGGAAGGTGGGTGCACACAGGCTGCTGATTGTGGACGGCCATGAGAGCCACAGCTCACATGAATTCCACAAACACTGTGAGGAAGAGAAGATTATTGTTCTCTGTATGCCTGCTCACTCGTCGCACCTGCTGCAGCCACTTGAT